GGGAAGCGCTTATTCCACTGAGCCATCTCCCGGGCCCCTGACCTTGAATTTAGGGAAATCCTTTTCTCAGCCTCTTCACTACTGGGACTATAAGCATGTGCCATCATGCCCCACCAAAGATACATTTTATAAAAGTAGCAAAATAGTCATCTGACCTGGGGGGGAAATGATTGATTCTCATGGTCAGATTGTTTTGCCTTTCCTGAGAAAAGATCTTTAATCTTATTTATTTTGCAGAACCGGGGATTGAACTCAGGCCCTTGCGCTTGCCAGGCAGGCGCTTATTCTACTGAGCTATCTCCCCAGCCTTTAATCTTATTAAAACAAAAATGTTAGTCAATGTTCGATTCTATCTTACACAGTTAGGTAATTTAAATGAACACCTAAGGGCCGGCAAGATAGCTCAGTGGATTGCACCTGCTTAGGCAGATGCAGGGACCTGGTTTCAATCCTGGCCCACCATGTTGGCCCCGCCCCCAGGGTGTGTGCTGAGACTGCAGTTGATACTGGGCACTGTGTGTGGTGGCACTCACCTGTAATCCCAGCACTTAGCAGGCTGAAAACAGGATCACTAGGAGTCCAAGCTGTATAGTATGACCCTGTAGACATGTACTGAATACATGAAAATAAATAAACATCTGAATTATCCAGATAGACCAACTTAGAGTCTGGATATTTATCTGACTTCTGGTTTATCCACATGAATTAATACAAAGCCATCGCCTTAATATTGGCTGTGGGTGACTTAATTTTGTGACTTAAAAACTTTTGACTGGAGATCTAAGTGGCAGAGTGTTTGTCATGCATAATTAGACTTAACTCCCCAACACTGCTCCAAACATGTTCTTTTTTTTTTTTCCCCTGTTTTTTTTTTAATTTTTTATTTATGTGTGTGTGTGTGTGTGTGTGTGTGTGTGGCCAGTTCAGCCCACCAGGGGGTGGGGCTGGCCAGCATGTGGTGCTGGGGGATCGAACAGCGGTCCCTGTGCTTTGCTTAGCTTGTTCCAAGTAGGTGCTTTAGACCACTAAGCCATCTCACCAGCCCCTCCCCGTTTTTTTAAGACAGGGTCTTGCTATAGAACCAATGTTGGCCTTGATCTTGCAGTAATCCTCCTGTCTCAGCCTCCAGAGTGCTGTGATTATAGGTGTGTGCCATCAGGTCGGGCCTAAAATTTTTAGTTTTTGTATTTCTGAGTACTTAAATGAACGGTTGCTTTACAGCAGACATATACCACTGCACATACCCTGCATAAGTCCTGGTCTGAAATTAGTTTCAACAAAATTGAGAGTTTTTTTTTTCTTTTTTTTAAACTCAGTTTATTTTGTCCTGTGAAATAGGTTTTTGTTTTGTTTTGTTTTGTTTTTGTGGTACCGGGGATTGAACTCAGGACCTTGCACTTGCCAGGCAAGCACTTATTCTACTGAACTATCTCCCTAGCCCAAAATAGATTTATTTTTTGAGTTAATTTTATTTATTTATTTAAAATAATTGTATTTTTTTCTTTTTTAAAATGTGTTTAGTTGGGGGCCGGGGAGATGGCTCAGTGGAATAAGCACTTCCCCAGCAAGCGCAAGGACCTGAGTTCAATCTCCGGTTCCACAAAACAAACAAACAAACAAAAAAATGTGTTTAGTATAGGGTCTAACTGCGCAGCTCCGACTTGTAGTAATCTTCCTGTTTTCAGCCTCTCCAGCGCTGGGATTATAGGCATGTGCCAACACACCCTGTCTCCCAGGCTCATAAGCATGCCCAGTGGCAGGCTGGAGCCTGTGTGGCTTGTGGAGCCAAAGATCAAACCCCATCCCTGCACTTGCCTAAGCAGGTGCTTAGTCTGCTGAGCTATCTCACAAGTCCTCTGTGTGTTTATTAATTGTCATCCTATTCATAGTAAATGATTCTGGGGTCTGGGGAGATAGCACAGTAGAATAAGCGCTTGCCTGGCAACCACAAGAACCTGAGTTCAATCCCCGGTTCCACCAAAAAAAAAAAAAAAAAAGGCAAACATAGTAAATGATTCTGTGACACTTAGTAGGTGGACCAAAGATAGGAAGGAGGCTTGTCTGGTGCTAGTAGTTGGAAGAGTGCCTTTGCTCTTGCTAGTAGTGGCTTTAAATTGGTAACAGGTGAATAAGTGCACAGGCAAAAGGCAGCAGCAGAATAGACTCACAGAGAAGGAAAAGCTGGCATTTCTGGTTCTTAGACTCCAAGTATGCAGCAG